AGTTACAGGGTTAAATATAGGGCTTGCGAACCAAATTCTCTGGACTTTCTACCTGTGTTGTCAGGCAGGTCCCTCAAATTGTAATTAATAAAATTACTTTATTATGTAAAATTATATAAATATATTTGTAGAATTTAAATATATATGTATATATATTTATATATATATAGCTAAGTACTTAGATAATATATATAATCTAAGTACTTTTATTAACTTTATTACACTTTTTAATAACTTTCATTTACTTTCTAAACTTTTGTGCAGGCAAGAGGGGGACAGCCTGAGAGCTCAGGCACTCCCCCTGCAGGCACTGCACAAGCTGGCTGTTCCGACCATGTGATCGCGAGAACCTAGCAATCACATGGCCGGGGGGGTCGGATCAGCCGCTGGGGGACTCTCTGGGATGCCAGGCAAGACCCCACATCGCGATCACCGGCGTGGGATTGCCAGCGATCAGGTAAGTGCAGATTTGGGATCGGACGTACCAGGTATGTCCGCGGTCGTTAATGACCGTTTTTTTTGTCGAAGAAGGGGTTAAAGTTCAATTAAAGTGACACTTTAAGCGGCACTATCACGCCTAACTTACCTTTTCCCAATTGCTTCCTCTTTCCTATGCTTTTTTTCTTTTTTCATTTTCTAGCCATTTCTAAATAATAAAATAAGACAAAACAATAAATATAAAACAATTTTTCCTACACTTGATTTTCTTTGTGTCAAGGAGGAGCTTAAGAAAGCAGAACTAGGGTACCGCTGAAATAATGGAATTTCATCCAAACTGAATGTTGACGGCTTATCAATTAGTTTTCTAACAAAATTCGGTCATTATTTTTGGTTTGGAATTTCATTAGGGAGAATAAAATTCCAATTCGGGCCACGGCTGAATCTTGCAGCAGTTTAGTAGATAACTACCTAAATTGGTATATAATGGCAACCCCACAGGTATTAGGGAGCTATCTATTGAAAAAAAAAAAAAGAAAGACCAAAATACTACAAATACTAAGAAAAAAAAACCAAACCGCTCCCCACAAAAAGTAGCATTAGTAAATAAGAGAGGTAAAATTGTCGCTGCTGCCCCTGCTCGCTGTGCCGCAAGTAAAAGCAGGTCAACTATACAGTGAGCAGTCAGTGTCTGCCGTAAGAAAAAAAAAAAAGATACCCCCAATCCAATAAAGGGGGAACTAGCACAGTTCCACCATGCCCCGATGGTGAGGTATATATAAAATAATTAAAGCGGGATAATAGTGTTCCCCTTCAGACCTGCAAGTGGGGGCTATTAAACGTAATGGGGGTTCTAGTGTCCCCCTACCAGCCCCAACCAATTAGCAGAAAGTGGGGGTGATTTAGCAATTACACAGAGAGCTACAACCAGATACCTCCCTCCCTGAAATAAACTAAACAAACAAAGACTGAATTGCAATGTTCGTTTGTTCGTTGTAATTTCAATTAGTTAGTTTGGCTTTCTGGCAAATGGACAAATTGCCGAAATTCCTTCCGAAATTGGATAAATGGATAAAAGTGCTGGCCCAAGTCTACAGTGGGCGTGCGCGGAAATTTCACAGTAATACAAAATAAAAACGAAAACAAAAAAGGTGACATTTGGGGATGACTATGGGGAGAATAAAACCAAAACAGATGCAGGCCTGACATTACCACTTTAAACAAAGTAAACTTAATGAAGTGAAAATGAACGTGGAATCTATAAAATAGCAAAATACAAAATATAGTGAAGTAAGTTAGGCAAAAATGGATTTGCACGTGGTAGAGAACTTACAAGAAGGGAGTAGTAATCACGCCTGTCACCCTGTCAGAGGTACTTTCCACATTGAAGGTCGAATATATATGGCGAAGACTGACAATAACACTTTTTTTTCAGCTCAGGAATAAAATATCCCTTTTTCCTTCAGCTCAGGAACAAAAGAAAAAATATAGATAGTGCAGATTGTATAAAAATAACAAGATTTATTCCAAATATTGCAATTACAAGAAATCAGAAGTTAGCCAGCATATCTCCATAATGAAGTAATGGCCGGGTCTCCAGATGAAAGTAGAGAGAGATCCCAAAATGGAGGTACACAAAATTAAAAAATAAAATTAAAAAAATTTGTACCCTTTTGGGGTTCCATGTATATAACAATCATGCATTCTGATATCACAGAATATATATTGTACTATTACTCCTTTTTTATAATGTCTTACATGTCATGTCTTATATATGACATGTATTTATCTGGTCCATATTATATTACATTCATTTAGTCCTTTATAGTTATTTTTTTTTTTCTTATGCAGATTTTTAATGCTTTATCATTCTCATGGCACACAGGGTCCTTTGACTTCTTTCTTTGTCCTATATTTGTATAATGGGAACGGATTGTTGCCCCAGAGGGGAAGCCTTTTCTGCTGCACTTCTATTAGTGCTAGCAGAGGAGGGCTCCCCTCGATCGGATTAGATCCGAAACCGGAAGTGATGTCCTGCGTTCCAAGGTGGAACGCAAGAAGCCCTCTTGATTGGATGAGACCGAAACCGGAAGTGACGCTATGCGTTCCAAGGTGGAACACAGGAAGTTCAATGGCCGAAAACCGGAAGTAACATGTGAATTTCCCCGCGAATTTGAGAATTGGCATGATATATAAACCATGAAGATTACAACACATCTATATCCCTGAGGAAGTCACTACAGTGACGAAACGCGTTGGATACTACGTTTGGACTTTTTATGCTAATATACAGCTGTTATTATAGTCCATTTGTTATTTTTATTTATTTTATTTTATTTTTTAATTTTGTGTACCTCCATTTTGGGATCTCTCTCTACTTTCATCTGGAGACCCGGCCATTACTTCATTATGGAGATATGCTGGCTAACTTCTGATTTCTTCTAAGTGCAATATTTGGAATAAATCTTGTTATTTTTATACAATCTGCACTATCTATATTTTTTCTTTTGTTCCTGAACTGAAGGAAAAAGGGATATTTTATTCCTGAGCTGAAGAAAAAGTGATATTGTCAGTCCTCGCCATATATATTCGACCTTCAATGTGGAAAGTACCCCTGACAGGGTGACAGGCGTGATTACTACTCCCTTCTTGTAAGTTTTCTACCACGTGCAAATCCAATTTTGCCTAACTTACTTCACTATATTTTGTATTTTGCTATTTTATAGATTCCACGTTCATTTTCAGCCATATTCAGGTTGTATTGTTCCTAACCACCCTCTATTTGTATATATCACCTTTGGGTTTTTATATATACGTCCTTGTGTTTATTCTTTATAGTGTGTGTGTGAGGTACACTTCTTTGAGGGTGTGTTCTTTTAGTGTATCATATAGTAAGCATATCCTTTTTTGTATCTTTAAAACTTAATGAAGTATTTATTTTTATATATTTTTTTTTTTAACATTTTCTTTTTTTATTGGTTCTTTCAACTTTTACAGAAGAAGTGGAAGGATAAAAAATACCTTGTAATATTTCTTTCAGGTTCAGAAATATTTGCATATAAGAACAACTACTATATTGGCATGTTCATTGTGTGAGTCAAAAATGAACAAATACCCAGATTGTGTATGTTTTGAATATGTATAGTCAGTGCTGTATCTAGCGCGAGGCTGACAAGGCATTTGCCTTGGGTGGCACTTTTTGGGAGGCGGAAAAAAAAGTAACTCCAGCCCCGGCACCACTAAGAGGTGCGCGAGGGAGCTTAACAGGGAGATCAGAGCTCCTTCGCGTGTCTGCACTGACTGCAAGCCCAGCCACACAGCACAGCAGCCCCACTGGATCTCGGGGACCGCATGCCCAGCTGTTCAGCCCAGAAGCCCCAGGGAAACAGACTGCATGCCAGCACTCCCAAAGGTAGAGAGGCTGGGTGGTGGGAAATATAATTTTTTTTTTTTAGAAATTGTGTGTGTCTGTAAGTGAGTTTGTATGTGTGTTTGTCATTGTGTATGTGCATTTGTCAGTGAGTGTATGTGTGTTTGTCAGTAAGAGTGCATGTGTGTTTGTCAGTGAGTGTATATGTGTTTATCAGTGAGAGTGTATATGTATTTGTCAATGAGAGTGTATGTGTTTGTCAGTGAGTTTGTATGTGTGTCTGTCAAAGAGAGTGTGTGTGTGTGTTTGTCAGTGAGAGTGTATGTGTGTCTGTCAGTGAGTGTGTATGTGTGTCTGTCAGTGAATGTGTGTGTGTGTGTCAGTTTGTGTGTGTGTGTGTGTGTGTGTGTGTGTCTGTCTGTTACTGAGAGTGTGTATGTATCTGCCAGTGAATGTGTATGTCTGTTAGTGAATGTGTATGTCTGTCAGTGCGTGTGTGTCTGTCAATGAGTGAGTATGTCTGTCAGCTAGTGTATGTGTGTCTGTCAGTGAATGTGTTTGTTTGTCAGTAAATGTGCTTCTCTGACACTGAGTGGGTGCGTCTCTGTCAGTGAGTGTATGTGTGTTTGTCAGTGCGTCTCTGTCAGTGAGTATATGTGTGTCTCAGTATTTTTTTTTTTTTTTTTAAGGTTACCAGAAAAGCCTTTATGTCTCAGCAGCTAGTAGCATTATACTTGGCTAGTCCTATAACTCTTAAGTTTAACATGCTTTGTGAATATATATAAGTTATGCTTATTATGTAGAGTATCATCGCAGTAATAGCTAGGCATTAATATGATTGTGCTTAATTGTGCATAAGGGAGTGACATACATTTTTGTATAATAACGACAGGAATGAGTAGTAAAACACAGAGTAGGTAAAACGTTAATGTTCAAGATATGTTAGAACAGTTGCAGTGCTGGATTTGCATATATGATAAACAGCACAATTGTAGTGATTTATGACATGAGAAACTTAATGCTGAGCTAAATTAATAGGAGAGTAGGTGAAAAAAGCTTAAACTATGCAAGTAGTTTTAACTGCTTAGAGTGTAGAGAGAGTACATCAGGATGTATAGATGGCAGGGCTGCCAGGAGCCATCTCCGCTGAATGCAGCCCAGACTTTGAGAGAGTCCTCCCGACAGTGCAGGCTTATCCAACCCCCGATCTGCAAAACCTGTGGCATGTCAGGAGTGAGTCCAGCATGATGTGTGCTGAGAGAGGTGAGTGCACTCCCAGTGTGTGATGTCTTGCTTCTGCCCGATCCTCCCTGGGAGGCAGCTGGAACGCAGGAGTGTCATGCAGGTCGGCAGGGTTATCAGTGTTGCTTGGTGAGGGACTGGGTAGCAGGTCTCGACTGTACTTTGCCGCAGGAGCCTGAAATCCAACATGTTTGTAGGTCAGTAAGTGGTGATTTAGCTGTGTTAATGAGCCCTTTTGCTTTTCAACCATCAGTATAGCCTCGAGGCTTCTGATCTGCTGTGACATGGTGGTCTCTGGCTGTCCCGCCATTTCAGGTCTGCCTGCCACTACCGCCATTTTGGTTATGGGGGCCCTCTGTGACTTAGGTGCTGCGGGTCATGGGGACAGTCTCCTGGGACCGGGATAACCCCCACCGGTCCAAAGGGGGGGGGGGAAACGAGGCCTGTATTGCGTGGCATCAGAGTTCCAAAGGGAAACCACAGGGCAGGATAGCAAGGCGGCGGCCGTCCACCTTACTCACCGCCCGGGTAGGCCTCAGATGCAGCTATGCCGATGTGCCTTCTCAGGGGTTAGAACGCTTGTGGTCAGAGTGACTTCAGCACCAGTGCCTCTTTGCCCGCAGGACCACTGCTTCTACACTGCAGATGGGTATATTATTCGCTTTTGACCGGCATTAATGTCGCTTTTCTGCAGGAGCTCGTCTTGTATGCGACCTCTCAGCATGGCGGTCCGGCCCCGCCCCCTATTTTTATATTTTTTATTTGTAGAATGCATGATAATAAAAACAGGCCTGATATGCCACGTCAGCATTGACAAGCATATTAAATAAATCCACAGTTACATTTTCATTAGACATGTGCAATTCGTTTCGGTCTGAATTTAAATTTGGACAAATTTCGGCAATTTGGACATTCGGACGCTTCCGAATGTCCAAATTGCCAACGTGCTGAATTTCGGAAGTGCCGTACCAAACCGAAGACCCGAATTTTGGAAGTGCTGTACCGAACCGAATTTTTGCCCATGCACATCCCTAATTTTCATGGCACATAAGAAAAACTGCACATTTCATACTTACCTAGTTTTTTTTTGAGTAATAAACCGGCTAAGCCAGTTAGCTTATAAGGAACATCTTGTGTAGGCTGACATTAACCTATGCTGAGAAGTGAGTAGAACATGCTAAACTAAAATTAGGATTAGTTCTGGAGCTTGGTAGCTGCTGGGTACTTAAGTTTACAGCAATGGGAGGTAGCCTTTTTGAAACTGGGTACAAACATTGCTATATAACACGGTACATAATACGTATATGTAGGTTGGATGGCTTAGAGGCTTATTGCCAGTTTCAGTGGGTATCTCTGGGTAGCAGGTCAGGCAAACAGAATATTGGGGGTAAGCTGTGCATTAGACGGGCTGTAGCCATAGCCTGAGGCAGCTTAATTAATGCCCACTAAAGGCAGCCTGCCAAACCCGGGAAACCTGTGTACGTCTTGCTGTAGGTGAGAGCACCGCTGGTCCCAAGTGCCTGTGTGGTCGTGTACTTCACTGACCACTCCGCCACAGAGTCCAGTAACTGGGTCATGGCCTCCAGGCCGTCTCAGTACCCGTAAGTTGTAGTGCCATATGTGAGCTCACCGACTGAGCGGCAAGCCAGCTTGGAGTCTGCTCCCTCGTGAGTGCCATGTAGAGTTGCAGCTACGAGGTGGTAAAGTGCGTGGGGAGGGTTTTCTTATTGTAGGGGGTTGGTGCTCGGTGGCCATCTTGGCCCCGACATGTGGTCTGCATTCTGGCTGAGGGATTTCTGGATGTAGGCCTGTTGGTTTCCCCAGTGGGCACCGGGATAACCCCCACCGGTCCAGAGGGAAGAATGCGGGTCATCAGGAGAGCTGCTGCTTTTTGTGGTCCCCATGGCGGGAGATTGGCCGCCTTCCACTTTAGGCCTCATTTGTGGAGCGTTCACTACAGAATTTCACGAGGCGGGTGTCCACAGGTCTCCACTCGGTTCAGCACTGCTGTGTTGCTGAGCTGGGCTGCTTTTGTCGAGATTGTGGCATATATTTGCCACTATAATGCTGCGTTTATGCCAGAGCTCTCTGGCTAGCAGGCCCTGCTCCCTTAATGAAGTAGCTTTGGTGTATAGATCCTGCCCTTGCAGTCTCACTGCTCAATTCTCTACCATCTAGGAATTAAATCACTTTTGTTCCTGTTTATGTAGCCCTAGTCACACTTCCCTTGATATAGTGGCTGTGACGGACATAGTCTTCTTAGAAACAATGCTTTCCTTTTCAATCAGATCTTTCATAATAGTGTGCATTTTTGTTTCCTGTTTTATTGATTTAACTTTAATAAACACACAGGAGGCTGTTGAAGGCTATTAAAAGAGCAGGAAGAAATTATAAATTAAACCTGTTCCCTCGATCCTATTCCCTCATATCTCATTCGCACTCTGTCTCCCTCTCCTTTGGCACATTTCCTTCACCCTTCAAGCATGCAACCATAACCCCTATTTTGAAAAAGCCCAACCTTGACCCTATCTCACTACTGCCATTTGCGTCCAAGATCCTTGAGAGAGTTGTGTATGCCTGATTGACAGACTTCCTCGAATCCAACTCTCTGCTTGACCCACTTCAGTCTGGATTCCACGCTCGTCACTCTTTTGAAACAGCTGTGACCAAAGTATCCAATGATCTTATCACTACAAAATCCTGTGGCCACTACTCTATCCTAATTCTCTTTGATCTTTCTACTGCCTTTGACACTGTTGATCATCAACAGCTTCTTCGCATTCTCCATAATCTCAGTCTACGGGATACTGCTCTCTCCTGGTGCTCCTACCTCTCACATAGCTTTTTCAGTGTTTCTTTCTCTGGCTCTGCCTCTTCTTCCCAACCTCTCTATGTTGGCGTTCCCCATGGTTCTGTCCTTGGTCCCCTACTGTTCTCTCTATATACAGCCTCCCTTGGTAAACTCATCAGCGCCTTTGGCTTCCATTATCATTTATATGCAGATGACACGCAAATCTACCTAGCCTCACTCTGCCCATGTGTACTTGTGTCTCTGAATGTCTCTCCACGATTTCCAACTGGAAGGCTGCTCACTTCCTTAACCTCAACCTGCCCAAAACAGAACTTCTGGTCTTTCCTCCCTCAAGTGTTGCTACTCCCATGTCAGTCTCCCTCCAAGTCAACAGCACCACCATCACCTCTACCTCGCAGGTTCGCTGCCTAGGTGTTCTCTTTGACTCCGACCTCTCCTTCACCCCTCATATCTAGTCGATTGCCAAATCCTACCACTTCCATCTCAGAAACATAGCTTGCATCCACCACTATTTATCTCCAGATACGGCTACGATGCTGGTCCATGCCATTTTTTCTCACTAGCCTTGACTACTGAAATCCCCTTCTCAGTGGTCTTACGTGTTCCCAGCTTGCACCACTGCAATCTATAATGCATGCGGCAGCAAGGCTCATTCGCCAGTCCACCCACACCTCACCTCTCTGTGAGTCCCTACATTGGCTTCCAGTTAGATATAGGGCTCAACTTAAGATTCTGGTGCTTGCTTACAAGTCCCTACATAATGCTGCTCCAACCCACCTATCCACCCTACTACACAAGTATGTCCCGTTGAGGCTCCTGCGCTCTGCCGAAGACCTTCATCTATCCTCTGTCCGTACTCTCACATCTGATGCTCGCCTTCAAGAACTCTCCAGAGCTGCACCTTTTCTGTGAAACTCCCGTCCCTTCTACGTTAGACTTTCACAAAGTCTTCACTCCTTCAAAAATTAGTTTTGAAAACACTTCTTCAGGATAACATATCAATTGAACTGTTGAGGTTTTTCATCTCATGCAACTGTCAAAAATAACCCACTGAGCCCTCAGTGAATACTTTTCTAGCAACCTATTTCGTTTCCCCTACTTATACTTTGTGTCACTATAACCCACTCCCTTAAGCATGTAAGTAGGGCTCTCTGTTCCTGTGCGTCCACTTGTCTGGTTACAATTACGTGTCTGTTAGTCCGCCTATTGTACAGGGGCAAGGAATTTGCTGGTGTGATATATATTAAAAATAAGAGAGAAACATTGTAGGCAAGTCCTCAGGAAAGAGTAGGGAGGTTTTATGTGTCTCAGCCAGGGGAAGTCGGGCCAAGGCGGTATAACCAAAGTGATTTAAATCCTGAATGACAGATAACTGAGCAGTTAGACTGCAGAGGAATAATTTATACACCAAAACTGCTTCATTAGCTAAAGTTGTTTTGGTGCCTAGATTGTCTAACAGATAGAATACTATGTAAGCACACTGTGTAATGCCTTATAAATAATGAAGCTTTTTTTCCCCATTGGCACTGGATAAGTCCAAACTAGGGGCAAGGTGGTTATCACTGCAATCTAATTAGTACTGATCACAGGCTGAACTGCCGGGCAGATAATAAAACGTGGGACTGTTCTAGCGGGAAAACAGGACAGTTGACTATTGCATACACCCCAAAACTGAAGGATGGTGTTTAAGGGGGCAGACCAATGACACTGCCCAAATGTGTGATCCTACAAAAAGTTTTAATTTTCAAATTCAATTGATGAGCAACATCTTTACTTTAGAAGTTTTAATAGATATCTTCTAAATGAAACAGACTGTGTAATACAGATAGTTTAAATATTAGATCGCCCTTTACAAGAAATATGTAGTGAGACAGTAGGTCACATGCAGAAGTGGTGTGACTAGGGCTGCATAAATAAAGTGATAGAACTACTAAATAGAGAATTGAACAGTGAGACTGCAGGGGCATGATCTAAACACAAAAACCACTCCATTAAGTTAAAGTTGTCTTGGTACTTAGTGTCTCTTAATTAGAGATGTCGCGAACGGTTCGCCACGAACTCCGGTCAGCTGACACATCCCTGCCAGTCTCCGGCAGACCCTCCCTCCCAGACCCTCCAACCTCCTGGACAGCATCCATGTTGAAGCTGCCTTCAACATGGATGCTGTCCAGGAAGTAAGAGGGTCTGGGAGGGAGGGTCTGCCGGAGACTGGCAGGGATGTGTCAGCTGACCGGAATTCGCGGCGAACCGTTCGTGACATCTCTACTCTTAATTAAATAAATTATTAAAGTTCTATAAAATGATAAAGTAAACCACATACATATTAAGTTCTGTGCTAGTAGACAAAACTAAAATTTACTTACCACTGCAAGGGTCCATGACACTTATCACGGCTGGATTTTCACTCACCAACGGCTAGTGGGTGAGTGGAAATTTTGTGCCCTGCTGATATTGTTCCATGTCTTTATGCTTTGGAATTATTACAGATATTCTTGAACAACAAGCATATGTAAAACATTTTCACACTACAATTAGCTGTGTACATTTTAGAGCAAATATTCCAGCATTCATAGGCCAGAATATCTGATTTGCATTAATAAACGCATTATATTAAATAGCCACAAGATGGTGCTATTTGCTCAACAAGTCTAAATTACAGCCATGAAATGGTATAATTAGCAAACATCTTAAAGATATACTATAATGCTAAAAAAAAACAAAAAAAAAAACACGACACACACTTCTACCTCAGCACTGCATCAGCACTTCACCTCCTCCGACATCATAGGAAAGCATTGCTTTCCTAGGGGTACTTTACTTACGCTGGTTGTCCTCATGCAGCACGTGAGGACACCCAGTGTCAGTTAGGCAATCAAAAGACACCTACGCAAACAGGAAATGCCTCTAGTGGTTGTCTGACAGCTATTGGAAGTAGTCTTAACCCTGAATTTTATTTATTGCAGCTTTTCAAAAATGGCAATATTGAACATTGCAGAGTTAAGGACAGGAACATGGCATCCAGATCACTACAATGAGATGAAGTTGTCTGGGTGCTTATATAGTGTCACATTAAAAGGAACAGTCCAGGTACAATAACCACTACCATTAAAATTATTACTAGCATTTACAAAGCACAAACAGTCTGCAGCGCTAGAAGTCAATACCATATAAAACAGACCAATAGAAAACGTAATGAGGAGCAGAGATCTAGCCCATGAAAAATCCTTTGTTGTAATAGATATAGAACTTGGTCTGATTCTAGGGGAAGTTCATAAAATGCTCTATTATATCATTGATATGTACAAAACCAGTATATCATATCATTGACCATTTTGTTCCAAAAAAAAAAAAAAAAAACCATCCATATTCTAAAAACCTGAAAAAATAAAAAAAATAAAAGAGTCCACGATGTCAAATTCTCTAACGTTTAATCACTATAAAGAAATTTTATTTTAAGCAAAAGATCATTTATTTTATAGTCCTATCAGTTGTTTATACTGGTTTTAGTGCTAAAATACCATCCAAAATGCATTTTAATTTTTCTAAAGCAAGCATGTTTTCTAACCTAACCTATCTCCACAATTAAAATTGTGGATTTCCATAATTAATTTTGAAGCCTGCAGCTGAACTTTTCAAGGTTACTTATACTACAATGTGTTCAATATTTTTGCATACACAGATATTTTGTAGTATGTTCATCCTAGAGCGGTTAAATAAAAAGTACATCTATACATTTCCTAGATATTCTAACGATGTATAGGCCGTGTTTTATACTCAAAAAAAGAGCACAAGTTATATTAGGCATTACACTGTGCTGTTACTGTGATATTCAACTATCTGCTGCATTACAAGGTACGGCCAAGTCAATGAATAGCAGAGTTAGGGCTGTAAAATGAACATGAAACATCACATGATTACTTTCAAGCTACAGATAGTTTGCAGCAACAAATACTGTTAGAAAACAGTTAGTGTTATGGAGACTGTTGCATAGAAAATATGTAATATATACACGTGTTGAATTGATGGTATTTCCCTGTTGCAATTTTACAGTAATTACTAAACCCATTTTCAAATGGTTTAAATACGTAGGCAGGTTTTTCTTCCTTCTGGATATCACTGTAGTTATTTCGCTTGAATGTAATTTTTAAAATCATTGATTGGCTGAGTGTCAGCTTTCGCCTAGAAAAATCAGTGTTAAAAAGGATTAATCAAATTTCACAGGAGATTGAATAGGTTTATTTACAAGATGGCTTTTTACAAACAACCAAAGTACAGAATAAATAAGAGTATAACCAGCATAGCACAGACTGATCCATTCAAATCAAACACATATTAAGTGATATGCACTCATTCCATTAAAGGGATGAACACTGCATTTGGCAAGCTGTGTTAAGTGAGGAAGTGGTGTATGGTCAAGTTAAGCAAACCTTTGTACACTGCCAAATAAATCTTACAGTTGCACGTCTTGTAAATAAAATAGCAGCTAGATTTTTAGTTTTTCCACATATTTACACACATTTCATTAAATACTTTATAGACATTCACGAAGGTGACAATTAAGCCATGTGTGGTTTTGCTGTAACTTTATTGCTTCATAGAACGGTTATGTCACAAGGGTAGGCATGACTACCTCAAAGGAAAGGGATCTGAAAACAGAAATTGAAGCAGAAGGCAAGACAAGTAGAAGAAATATGTACACATCTATTTTATATAGTTGCTCTCCCTTTGGCATTTAATGCGTTAAGTGTAAAGTGTTGATACCAGGACATTGCCCTATAGACTATGCTGCGTAGTCTGCACTGATCGCCACCATGGAGACTTCAGATTTTTGCAGTGTAAAGGCTGAATATGGGAAGATATAATACAATATCTGCAGTGGCAAGGTTAGCCATTATTGTAGTCAAAGATGCTCTAATGGACTATTTTTTCCACCTTGGATAATCACTAAATAGAATGAGTTGTTTAACCCCCTTAAGGACACATGACGGAAACATTCCGTCATGATTCCCTTTTATTCCAGAAGTTGTGTCCTTTAATAAATAAAGGGTCTCTTGGAAGAGAATGTAAATAGCTGACTGGTGTTACAGGTAGACTGAAGGGCACATTTAACATCATATAACAATTGCACTAAATACAGCTGCAGTTAAAGTTGTACCAGAAAATAGTTGGCTTAAATTTGGGTCTAAAATGAGAATAAAATGAGAACCATTAAAAGGCACACTCCAAACACCATATCCACTACAGATTGCGGTAGTGTTCACGGTGCCAGCCGGGTCCTGGTGCCACCCCATATATAAAGTAGTCCAACAGTTTGGCAAGAGATCATTTAATGCTGTAACTGAATAAACTCTACATATTGCACAGTGCTTACCAAGTGTTTCACACATTTATTGCATAAGCTTATTTCATAACAAAACATGTTCACAAGGAGGGGGTGGGGATACACCACTTTCTCCAACAGAGAATAAGAGGGAAGAAAATAAACCAAAACCAAACCGAATCTAATAAAAAAAATAAAAAATAGATGTCACCATATTCTGTGTCGTAGTCCATCTTTAGTTCATTCAGGATTTCAAAGCAACTACCACCAATCAGGTTCTGATGTAGCAATCTACTTCATTCTAAATTATAAGTGCAATGCTACATACAAGAACTAGGAATTACATTTTTTAATTTTTTTTTAAATGGCGACATGTTGGAGGAAAGGTGGTGGTGGGGGGGTTGAAGGGAGGATACATGTAAAGTGTTCAAAATTGACAATCCAGAGACCTCCAGTGGAAATCGCCTTACAAATCACTTCTGTGCAAACCTTGTCTGGTATTTCAAGAAGGATTAGACAAATTGTTTTTATTGTGCCACTGTGTTCTAATGTTAAGCCGACCATAGCATGCAGTCTATCATGTTTTGCAGGAACTTGCTGGGGGGGGGGTAGGGGGCGAGGGATAAAATGAGGTGATAATTCAAGATTGCTGATCTATTAAACAAGGCACATTATGCTAGCTTTTTAAAACTTCAAGAGTTCCCTTCCTCTTTAAACTTCATATATTGGCACAAATCTAAAATAAAGACCAGTAGAAAAAGCCAATAATGCACACTGACCACCAGCCTCTTTCCAGAATTACAGAGAGTACATACCGAGAGCCATACAGAGTAATGGTCTGAAACTATGGAGGTAACCAGTAAAAGTGTCCTGTCTAAACAAGTTGCTATGCTCCATCAATGATTTTCCAGCAGTCAGCCTTGGACTATAAGTGTACATGCAGATGTTAAAACACCAGTCTTTTTAGATGTTTGGTGGAGGGGCAAAGAAAACAGAATTTGGGGCACAGTGCCTTAATGTTCTCATACACACCTTAAGTATATAGTGCTATACATGGCAAAAGAGCCCTTAGATGGCAGTTTATATAGTGATTCAATGGCCTCATTTATATTCTAGACAGCTAGGACTTCACAGGATCTAGATTATAAAATAGGACTAAATATCTAAAAAAAAAATTCTCTATTTAAAAGTCTAAAGAAACAGATCTTTAAAAAAAAATAAAAAAAAAAATTATCCAACAATATAAAGTTCAGATCTCTATACTAGCTTTATCGAGAAAAAAAAAATAATTAAAAATCTAGTCACCAGAGTGAGCAAATGGTTCACTCCTTAACAAGGCAAAAAATACTTTGCTGATTGCATCAAATAAAGGAAGTGGGACAGCAATAATTCTGGAGAAAGCCTTCCTTCAGACGCTTGCTTAATGTGTCGAAGAAATACATCTAAAGTGAAAGCAATGCTATAAAATCGGAAGAAAAACAAAACATGGAATCTTAATGTTGGTTCTTTCATGCAAGTAATGTTCCAAAGCCATATATAAAAAAAATATATAAATAAAACACTCAACACCCTACCAGTGAATAAACTTGCACCATTCAAAATTGAAACTAGTTTCCTCAACAACTTGCTCATTTCTTCTTCTTCACGCTGGGGGCATAGGGGACAAATTTTCC